CTTTAAAGGGATACTCCACCCCAAAATGAAAATTTTGTCATTAATCACTTACCCCCATGTCGTTCACAATTTAAGATATTTTGGATGAAAACCAGGAGGCTTGTGACTGTCCCATTGACTGCCAAGTAAATATCCGCTGGACGCAAGCAGCGTACACTCTTCTGTGTCAGCCGCGCTGCACGGATGCGCTGTTTTCGTTCAAATCAAAACGTAAATACACGTAGAAAACGTATCCTTGTGTCGAGGCTGACACAGAATAGCGTACGCAGTTTGCGTTCAGCGGATATTATCCAAAATTTCTTTTAATGCGGTGCGCTGTCGCCCTTTCTACGTAAAAACCTGTCAAATCATGTAATGTGAATGTCGTACAGTCTTGCTCGAGACTAAAGCTGAAAGCTGAGTTGAAAGCGTACCGAGCCGCGGAAGAGACGCTGTTTCTCAAGCGCTTTCCGCGAGCGCGATTCGAGACGGAGTGAAACACGGACAAATGCGTTTCATTCATTCGTTCATAACCACTCATACCCCCCGACCCCCCGACACAGTTTTGTGTAGGGCCCCCACAAGTCTAGGATCAGCACTGCTTTTCTGGACCTTGACAGTGTAATTTACTAGGCAGTCAATGGGACAGTCACAACTCACAAGCCTCCCGGTTTTCATCCAAAATATCTTAAATTGTGTTCCGAAGACGAACGAAGCTTATACGGGTTTGGAACGACATGGGGTAAGTGATTAATGACAAAATTTTCATTTTGGGGTGGAGTATCCCTTTAAGTGCACTGTAATAAAACACAATCTTTTATATTGTAGACCTCGGTTGGGGAGAGCTTGCAGAAGGAGGCAGTCAAAAAGAAGATGATGAAGCAGGTAAGGATGGAAGACATCCCAATTTATGGTGTTGAAAACAGTTTATTTATTTTTTTTCCCAATTCAGACCCGTCTTGAGATGCAGAAGGCACTTGAAGAGGACAGCACTGTCTATGAGTATGACAGTGTGTATGATGATATTCAGAAACAGAGACTGGAAAGCAATAAGAAATTGCTAGGTGGCACAGACAGAAAGGTATATTTTAAAATATTATTATTTAAAAAAATACTTTATTCATTCAATATAGAAACATTTTTACTCTAACCCAATATAAGTCTTTATAGCTTTTATATTAGAATATTATGTTTTGCAGTCATTTTTTGTAGTAGGACATTGTAATTCCTAATTGACAACAATTCTTTATTCATTCAATATAGAAACATTTTTACTCTAACCCAATATAAGTCTTTATAGCTTTTATATTAGAATATTATGTTTTGCAGATTTTTTGTAGTAGGACATTGTAATTCCTAATTGACAACAATTCAGTTTCAAAATGAACATATGTGCTGTTCTTTTAGCCCAAGTATATTAACCAACTGCTCCGTGCAGTCGAAGAGAGGAAGAAGGAACAGGAACGTCGTGATGAGAGGAAGATCCAGAAGGAAAGAGAAGCAGAGGGCGAGATGTTTGCTGATAAAGAGGCTTTTGTCACCACAGCGTATCGCCAAAAACTTAAAGAAAGACAGGAGGAGTTGGAGAGAGAGAAGAGGGAAGCAGAGTTAGAAGGTGAGTTCTTGTAGTATAATGCATTGTTGTTATGAGTATTAAAGTGGACATAGTTTTCTTTTTCATTTTCAGCTGCACTGGATGTCAAGAAGCAGAAGGATCTCAGTGGGTTTTATAGACATCTTCTCAACCAGACAGTCGGAGAGGAGGCAGTGCCTGATCGTAGTGCACAAAGGTGAGGCATATGTTTGTAGTGATTTACCGATTGATTGTGACCTTATTTTGCAACACAAGGAAGTAACATTCCTGTGAATGTGTGAGACTTTAGATTCATTATCCGCTATAGGTCAATAACTAGAAGTATAACAAAGTGTAGTAATCAATAAAGCTATTTGTGCTACAAACCAGTATGTTTATGATTATGATAATGAATGTGAAAAATAACGGTTTGCAATATCAAGCAGCATAACAGACAATTTTTGGACAGCTAAAATAACTGCTCTCAAGTAAAAAATGAGACAGATAAGTATGCATGAGTGCAAAACAAGCAGGAACTTCAAGTATAAAGTGCATAAAAACACAATTAAATACTCCAGATTGTTAAAGATAAATGGTCTTTTGGTACAGTTCTGCTCATAAGTTTACACACCCCAGAATAGTTAACCCAAAAATGAAAATCACTTGTTCTTTGCTTTGTTTTATTTTATATAAGAAGGTGTAACATTAAAATATATTAAAGTGCACATAAACACACACAAAACTCAAGTACATATGGAGGGAGGGGTTCTTGCAGACCAATCACAGCGCTTGCGGTCTGCGTAGAATTGACGCGCTGTTAGATTTTTGGAGAGGTGCAGGTCAGGCTACGGCGTATGGGTGTGCGTCTATGCGTAAGCTACGGCGTAGGTTCGACGCAGAAGTATAAATTGGGCTTTACTCACCCTCAGGTAAGAGAAATTTAGCATTACATCAATGGATCACCAGTGGATCCTCTGCAGTGAATGGGTGCCTTCAGAATAAGAGTTAAAACGACTGATAAAAAATATCACAATCCACACAACTCCAGTCCAATTATTCCATCTAGGTGTAAATTCAAACCTCTGCTTCCGGCTAAAATACAACTGCTTTATCCATAATATTGCTTTCTCCAGTGAAAAAAAATCATATTGTCTGACATTTAGGCCTACAAGTGAGAAAAAAAAAAACGTTTCAAACAAATATGTTGGTGGATTTTGATGCACTTTAATATTATGGATTATGGACTGGTATTTTGACTGGAGCAACAGTTTAAAGTTAAAACAATCTGTTTCTTACAAACATGCAGCTTTTCACTTCACAGGACAGTAATAGATTGACTGGAGTTGTATGAATTAATTCTTTTAAAATGTTTTTATCAGCCTTTTGGCACCTATTCACTGCAGAGGATCAATTGGTGAGCAAGTAATCTTGTTACATTTTTTCCAATTTTTTTTTCTGATGAAGAAACAAACTCCTCTAATAATAAAAAATATGATGACACATAAATTAACATTTAAATTAATATAGTATGAAAAATATAGTATATGAGAACAGAGATACACAAAGTCAAATTACATCCCTAAGTGCACTTTGTTTGTTACATCACATTTTAAAATGCAGAAACTATTTGAAGGTCTGTGTAGCTCTAATAAAATTGTTAATAATCAACTGTAACTTGTTTTAGAGAGGAGAAAGCTACAGGCTCTGCAGCAGCAGAACGGTCACCGACCCCGGAACCCACAGTGAAACAAAGAGAGAGCGAGGCAGAATCCCACAGCGATGAGGACCAGAGTGATAAAAAAGCTGCGTTCACTAAGACCACCACAAACAGCAACCACTCAAAACGTTACTACAGACAAAAATCCCCTCTTTCAGATAGTGACGATGAGCAAGAGCGTGACAGGAAAGAGATTAAAGAAAGGAGTCACAAAGAAAGAGAAAGGGATAGAGCAAAGGATAAAGATAAAGAGAGGGCCAGAGACCGAGAGGACAAGCACAGTCACAGAAAGGAGGACAGGGACCGCAGAAGAGAGAGGGAGCGAGATAGGGACAGAGAAGACGACAGAGGCCAAGACAGGAGGGACAGAGACAAAGATGACAGAAATAGTAACAGGGACAGAAGGAACAGCAGCCCAAAAGACAGAGAACGGGACGGGAAAGACGAGCAAGATCGAGACAACAGCCCGAAAGACAGAGAAAGACATCATAAAGGAGAACGAGAGCGAGACAGACGAGATAACAGCCCGAAGGACAGAGAACGGGGCCGCAAGGGAGAGAGAGATCAGAGGGACAGAGAAAGCCAGAAAATGGACAGCAAAAGGAAAAGCCAGGATGAGGAAAAAACGAGCGAAAGGAAGACTGACAATGATAAAGAAGAAAAGGTTGTGGAAACTGAGGACAAAAGTGATGCACAACAGAATCCTAGTAAATTTGCAAAACGCAGCAGTGACCAGACTCTAAATTCAGCCAGAGAGAGATATCTGGCCCGGCAACTTGCTCGTTTTGCTGCAAAGCCCTACATTGAAAAAGATGACGACTAGCAAATGGATTGACCATTGTATCTCCCTCTTTTAAACAGTACATATGGGTTTGGTTAAGGCAAATAATTTAAATGCTTTAGTGAGCCTAAGTGTTTGTAAAATTGGGGAGAATTAAGCTTTTCTGTGTAAATTTCACTTTGTCAGTTAATAAAACAAAACAACAACCCTACATGTTGAGGCAAAGCATCTTGGTTGCTGCAGTGCATGAAGATTTTTTTTTTGTGTGTGTGAGGTTCTTCCATAGTATTTAAGGTATTGGGTTTGAGGCTTTTAATAATAAACGCAAATGGGGAAAGGTAAATTTATTAGTCACCTCACCCTTATTTAAAAGCAATATTTTCCTTGGTGTGCAATATGCACATCCAAGAGTGCTAACATGTCAGTAACACCCACAGAAACATGATAAATGAAGAAAACAAAATATTTGAACAAAGAACTTTTATTGGGAATTTAGCTGCAATACATAAATACAAATATGAAATTCATGGGACAGACAGCGGTTCACAAAAAATAAGTCTGAAGATGAAGATTAAGGATAAAGCTGTCCAAATCTCCTCCGACGAAATCTGTTGGGGAAATTAATCAATTTACGTCATTTACAGGCCATATTTCACAGAAGCTAAACATGTTTTGTTTCAAATCAGAAAACCGTTCATCACCACTGATCAATCTGACGGTAATTCCAGCTATTATCAGTTTAGGTTTCATCATAATGAAATCGGCCCGTTTAAAATAAGTAACAGCCTTTCTGCAGAACTTACCATAAATTTGTGAAGCCCTCGGAAAAGACCTAGGAAGATACACATTGTTACAGAACAGCTCATACATTCTTAAGTCTTAAATACTTCGTCTACATTTAGTGTGCTCAGAAAACCGATCATCACCACTGAACCATCTGACGGTAATTCCAGCTATTTTCAGTTTAGGTTTCATCACAACACATTATAGAAGAAAAAAATCTATATACATTATTGTAAAACAGTGGAAACTGTCTTACCAGAAAACATCCGTATTTTTATCTTTTTTTTTTTTTTGGCCTGAGCACACATTCTCGCTATGCTACTTCAGAACAGAAAGAACTTACCCGCTTTCGCCTCGTGTTATATGTACTAGTCGCTCAATGACGTAGTTCTTCCGGTTCCTTCTTCCTGTTCCCCTTACGCGCGATCAGCTCATTTCTGCCAACTACTGGAAAAACCTAAGAACTCATTAAACCTAGAACTTTTTTTAAATTCTTTTTTTATTCAAGGAACAATAACACACAATATGTTATCAAGAAAACAACATTAAAATAAGAAAAGAAAAATAAAAAAGATAGAAGGACAAATTACAACAAACAAAAACAGTCGCCAGGGGGAGGAAAGTATAAAACTTCAAAACAAAAATACAAGATATACATACATACATACACTTGTACGTATATATAAAATCAAATAAATATATTGTAAAGTTCACAAACTTTCAAAGTTCTTACAGCTTTCTTATTCACATAGTCTCTGATACTGTCAATATATATACATATTTCCGTCAACAAAACAATAAAATTGGGTTTTTTATTGGTAAATTTACACTTATGAATGTGAAATTTGGTCAATAGAATAAGTAAATTAATTAAGTAAAAGTACTGTCCCTCTTGGTCAGGATAGTCAGTAAAGCCAAAGAGTACATTTTCCCATAGGAGTGAAGAAGGTCTTAAACT